CTACCCAAATCTACTGAGTCACATCACGTATTTTTGCACATTCTAAGAAAACGTTAACAAGAACAATTCTCCTTCTCCATTTCACACACTGCCTGACCTCAAAAACAGTAGCTGTTTCCCCATGCCTCTCCCTGCCCAGCCCTCAGAGTAGTGACCAGACCCAAAAGCAAAACACTGCCAATGAAAAATCACCCTGTAGGAACTGAGGAGAGTAGAACCAACGGCAGGGTTAGAGGCATAGATAGGTCTCCTGAAATAACACTGCCTGCCTTATATGGAATAAAAAATTTACTTTATCTCATCTGCCGTCCTTCAGCTTCTGCTGCACTTCCTGCCCAAGGAGGGGGGCCAACCTGCTACAAGAAGCAGTGCAGACAGCAAATGCTGTCTGCACCAAGGAAGTGGTGTCACAGCAACTCCACCTGTATCTTTTACAGCTCTGGAAGACAAAAATATTTGCATTCTTAGAAGATTAGAGGAATTTAGACTGTTGACTTAAAAAATGGAAACTAGATTTCGCATGAGAAGGAAAAAAAAAAAGTATGACTGCTGAAAAAATTGTACAGTGGTCACACCCTAATCACATGTATAAATCAGCCAATAAAAGCCTAATCACTTCGGAGGAGACTGGGACAATAAAAATCAAAATCTCAATCTCAGTTTTTCTTTAACTGGCTGAACAGATAAGGAAAGAGAAATTCTCCTTACTTGACAAAACCTGACCATTCTTACAGACACTCTTTAAAATTAGTCATCATCCTGGCTGACACAGAACAGTAACACCATAGGATCAGTTCAATTTTAATTAAGCAGTGCATCATTATGCCAGCAAGCACTAGGAGTTTTTAGTGTGTGGTAACAGGTGTATTACTCTTTTCCACCTGCCCACAACCCACTGACCTATCCAATGCTACTGCAGGACTGTGTGTGTCACTGAGAGGTTGAAACACAAGGTTGTGTCAAGCCGTCCTCTTTGCTGCTGGAGTACAAAATACTCCAGGCACAGTTCTGAAGAAACCCCCTCCCCTGGTGCACACAAGCCTGCAGAGCCCATGGCTTCTCTCTCCTGGAGCTGGTGCTTGCTGCAGCCAGAGGACACTCACCCTCCGCCAGCCCTTCCCCACCCGCAGCCAGAGGCGCAGGCTGGGCACAAGCACCGCTCCCCACGGTGGGACCGAGCTGCACCGAGCACAGTGGAGCAGAACATCAGCATCGTGTCGGGACTGCACTGCCAGCTGATCACTCTGCTGTCCTGGAGACTCCTAATTTCAATACTGCAACACCACCACCACAGGCCCCTGCTGGCTCCTGCCTTCAGACAGCAGGAGAGGCAACAAAACAGTTTGCCTACGTGTCTGTAATTAATTAAGCAAGCTTCTCTCTAGCAGTCCTATTTTTGGTGATTTGATTAGGTACATGGATATTACACTTAGTCTGCAATACTTAACCAAAGAAGATGCAATCTGCAAGATGATTGCTTTAAAACTAGTTTTGTAGGAGAGCAAAAGGTCATCAGAAATTCACCACCAGAGATATTCTCCATGTCCCTCCCATCTACTGCACTATTTAGTGCTATCTGGTGTACTCTTATATTAAATGACAAATTATAGTACAGGGGGAAAAGGTACTTACAAACAAAGGATCAAGCACTCTCGACTTTGCTTTTTTTAGAATGTATCTTCCAACAAATGCAGGAAAATATTTAGAAGTATTATTCAAAGGTGCCCTTCAAATCACACTAATATGCAGACTCCAAGTGCCCTGGCTGAACAGCTCCTACAAGAGCAATGCATTTATAAAAAAAAAACTTAAAAAAAGGAGATTTAGAAGAGTTATAAGAAGGCCTTTCTGAAATCATATAAAAATAAAATAACATTACTAGACTGTCTGTATGCTCTTCATAAAAAGATACTCCATTTTCATTTTTGTAAGAAACCCTATGGAGCTCAAGAGAACAGAGATATTGATCATATTCTGCCCTTTAAAAATCAAAGTCAACCAATTATGCACAAGTTCTCTCTCATACTTGCATCTTAAGAAGAAAAAGATGAGGGAGAAGACAGTGACCTTTACAATTTCTCTTCCCAGTCCCTTCTTTATTTTGCTTGTCCAGTCATGTGCTATCTCTTTACATAATATCAAGTGCATCTGCAAACAGAAACACCTACATTTATCAAAAAGCACAGATTAAAGCTACTGATACAGATCAGGTAATTTCTGTAATGGATCCTGTACGATCCTAACGAAAACCTCCAGGTTTAGACAGGGGTGAGGAAGAGAAGGGCAGACGTAGTCCAGGAGTTATTCCTCAGCTCATCCAGCTATATTCAATACACCAACAATTACGCAACAGCAGCAAAGCCCAGAAGGATAAGCTAGCACTCACCATATTCTCTTCATTTGGTGTTGAGCTTTCTCCTACACATTACACACAAATTACGGGAGCAAAAAAAAGTCCGCCCTGAATCTATTTTGCAGGCTGAGTTTAAGTCCCTAATTACAAATGATTTATGTCGCTTCTTACCCAAGAGATGACCCAAGCTTGGAAAGGGAAAAAATAAATGAACTAAAGAACTAAAACATACTTGCAACACAACTGAAATAGACCTCTTCCTCCAATTAAAAGACAAGTAAACTTATTTATCAGGTTACCCTTTTAAAGATGAACAAATCAACCAAAAAACCCTTCACCACCTACTCTGATACTCAAAAGAAAAAACTTTCAATCTTTTCAATGAACCCATGCATACCTACTATCTTGTATTTACTTTTGCAAAGAGAGAACACACTGAAGCCTACCTTTGACTTAGTTTTTTTGAATTTAAAACAGAAGAATTCCGGAGCAATGTCTCTTGCAGACGCACCACTGCAAGTTTTGGACACCAACTCTAATCAGCAGTATTTCAGTTCTGAGTTAATTGGGTTATCCTGTACAAAAAACAGGGGACCTACTGGCAGTTTTTAAAAATCTGTTAATCTGAAAAAAGACACACAGATTACCCTGTCTGGATATGTTGAAGCCAGAATGATTCACTTTCCAGGTTTGTTCTGCAAGTGGTAGTGAGCACTGATGAGGTTAAAGAAAGGACGAAGAAATAAGCTGTTCCTGCTAATTCATAGCTTTCAGTATAAAACACATTAACGCCTTCATGTCAAATAAAATGCATTTAAACTAAACTTTCATACAAGCATTTGCTCAAAATACTCCCCAAAAGCCATGCTTCATAGTGAAAAGCAAAAAGAAGGGCCTCCTTACCCATACACCATCCCATAAAACACTTCTGCACAGCAGTTTGCACATACTTCAAATAAATATGCTACGACATTTCAAGACTATAAAACAAATTATTTCAAATTGTCATAATACATCAGCAACACCAACCAACAGATGCTTCAGGAGGACTCTAGGATATGCAGATCATGCTAAGACCACCTTCCAAGCAATAGGCAAAAGAAACCACACAGTTCTGCAGTCAGCAGTAAAACTACCCTGAGGAAATGGCTTTGAAAAATTGTCATAGGACAATGAATTTTAACCAGCACATTCAGTACACACAGTGACTCCTCGGGGTCATGAGCTGTATGACTTTCACATCACTATTACATCCATAAACTTTCCCATTTCCAATTAATAATACACAAGACACCTTGAAAGTCAATCCTTCCTTCTGGAAGGCCTTTGTGCTTCACGACATAAAGTAGACTTTTACAAGTGTACCTGCCACTGCAAACACTATGTGGACTTCTTTTAATGAGCAAACACATAAAGAGGTTTTTAAACAGCATATCTGGATAAGCTTGAGCTGTACCAGGCAAGGCAGTTTTGAAGCAGTGCAACGTTGCGACAGTTCTAGCCCGACAGATCAGAGTCTAGCTTGCTGCTGCTGCTGCCACCATCTCCTTAAGAAGAATGGGAAGCTCACCTAGAGTATCCATAGAAACTCTGCATCTCGGAAAGGCACACGACAGGGTACCAAAAGCCACGCTGGCACAGAGGCGTCAGCTCTCGTTGCCTAACAAGACTCCGTCTGGGTCAACACTGACTTTCTGACTAATCTGGAGTCTGACCAGACTCCAGAGCTGTGTGCTGCCATTCCTTGTTTTTCTTGTTTACACAAGACCTGCAGATGCAGCCTGGGCAGAAGAGAAGGAAAGAATTTTAGGAGGGCTGCTCATACTTTGTACTCAGTAGATTAATTTCTTCCCTTTCCAAAGCACACGCAAAGAACTGATGGCTGTGTTTTTGCACGAAGTGCAGTAGCCAGGATGAAAATCAGTGCATTCGAGGACAAAACCAGAGCCTTCCTTAATAATTCAGTTCAGTCCATCACCTTGATGAGCCTATGAATACTAAACGAGCAAAAACAAGTTCAGTAATAACCACAAAGCAAGCATGCAGAGGGAAAAACCCTACAGATACTGTAATTAGCTCTGCTAACAGTAAATGAAGAGTCATACGGTTGAGAAACACTCCGTATCACTACTTGAATGAAAGAGGCTCCCTCTGTTTCTGTCCGTTCTGAAACAGCAGAAAAGACAGTCGATGTTGCAAGGAATAGAAGACCTACTCTTCTGGCAAGAGCTTTGTGTCAAACTTCTTAGCCTTGTCTCCTGATATTGCTAAGGGGAGATGATTTAGAGATGCACACACCTAATAGAAGAAAAAAAGCTACATGCACAGCACAAATCAACTCTCCTTTGAAGAGATGTATCTTTTTCATGTTAACACTAAAATAATGTGATCGAGATACTAAGGAGAAGTCACATTCCCCACTTTACTAGGATACTGACTGCAAAACACTTAAAATACATAAAGTTTCTGGCTACGATTTAAAAAACGTTTTAGTATACAGCATCTCAACCCAGGAACACGTCAGCGTAAGACCCCTGAAAGAAGAGCATTCTGCATATCTACTACATTCAGATATTCCCTAAACATCCCCTTATGAAAACAGTGTTTTAACACATTAGTACGTTTTAAATTAATAAGACATTCTTACCTGTATATCCTGCCCACCAGCCCCAGGAAGCCACCATAGCTAAAAGCCATTTAAATAACACTCCTTCGATATACCAGAAGCTTTTACTGTCCAATATTCGGAGAGGCTGCAGCACAATTAAATACAAGACGTAGGACGGAATAGCAACCAGGTTATTGGCGACCATAAAAGCGAACCTGAGGAGTGCTTTCAGGCAGGTATAGCCCACCCTCTGGGCCTGCTCTAGAGTCACGGCCATGCTCTTCACAGCGGAGGGCGCGGGACCGTCCTGCGGGCAGAGGGAGAACAAGGTGGCACAGGTAGCGCTCTCCGAGGGGCTGAGGCGCGGGTGTCCGCCGGCCCCGGCCGTGAGTCACCGGGCAGGCAGCGACCCCC